CTGGACTATTAAACAACTATGATTTGAATGATCGGAATGTCACGTGTAATTCCACCGGCGACTCTGCAACTAACTCCACCCATGACATTTCCCTATTGAGCTGCTCTCACCTTGGGAATGCAGGAGAACTACGGGAAGATGGGGAGGCTGTTTGTTATAATCTTAGAGCCTCCGCACTCTCCCACAGACATTTGAGAGGAACGACCCCCCGTAGGAATGTACAAGGAGATGCAAATCATGATTGCAAGGACCCCACCTCTCTCTCTTTAAGGAGGGTTGCACACCCCCAAGTAATGGATGAATGTATAAACAACAGTGAGGGGACAGCCCCCTCGGGAGAAGGGGTTAACAATCAACTTGTGGGTGCCACGAACTCCGGGGAGGATGTTAAAATTACCCCCGTTGAAGAGAAAATAGAAAGGGGAGTTAACAAAGCGATACGAAAGATCGGGAAACAGGATGATACGAATACAATGGAATCCTGGGCCACGGGGACGAACAATGAGGATAGTTGTTAAGGAGGATCGTAGACAGAGAGATAGGGGGAGGAGAATGAAAATAGGGAATACTAAGAGGGAGGATGAGGGGAATAAACAACATAAACACAGACAGTGCACATTTAACTACGTAGAATTAAAGAGCACCCCCCCCCGACTTATAGTCATACGAAGAAGGGAAGAAGAGCTGTGGTATCGGCACAAGCAAGGAGAGTGAGGAAATTACAGCTTGCAGTACAGAAACTAAGATCAAAACGCAGGTGGATTGGCTGGGACCCATGATGAGGTCAAGAAGCCGGGCGCAAAGAGCCGCCACATTTATAAATAGCTTCTCCCATCGACTGGACATTACCCTGATGATGCTGGCAGAAGCCAGCGAAAGCTTGGTTTTATTCTGCCCAGGACCACACTAAGCAGCGCCAGCCTTCGCGCATGCACAAGGTGCAAAAGTGCATCATTTTCTGTTGTAACCTTTTTGCCCGGGAATTCTATTTAATGTGAGAGAGGCCTGCGAGCCTCTGAGTTGTGTTGGAGCGAACAGCAGAAGAATAAACAGTTGTTGGCTACAGAATGTGTGCTCTTCTTTCGCCAATAACTAGGGGACTTAACAGTCTTGTTTTATTCTTCTCAATACAATTGGAAAAATGATGTTTTGGAGATTACATAAATACATTAGAGCTGTTTGCAGTCAAGACAATCTGCTTATGCATTGCTCTTTTGTTCCCCCTATTTTCTATAAACATAGACGAATGCTTTTGCTGAAGCTCCTATGCGGAAAGTATATTACGGCATGCTACCTCCAAATGTTGCCTCCGCATTTTCAAATCATATTGCGAGGATTTTTAAGTAGCCCCTTTCCCAGTTATGCTAGTGGCAAAGCAACTCTGGAAACAATAAAACGTACAGTAATTTATTTCAATTAGCAGAGAAAAACCGCTCGGACATTGAGCATATGAAAACTTCAAGCAAAACACGCATCACGCCGTGGGAAGCCACAAAAATTAACCAATGGCTGCTTCTGACTTCATAATCTCCGCACCCAACCCCTCCGTCCTCTAGGCACTACGTGGGCGAAGCATCAGTTTTTACAGTGCTCTACTCTGGATAAGTCAGAGAACCTGGACTGTGGAGGGAAAGGCGTGGGACTTTTATTTCTTTTAAAAGAGAAACTTTGGGAAGAGAGAAGTTAATCTCGCCGATTTTTTACGCTTGGCCCTGGGGGAAAGCGGCGTTCTTCTGAAGCAAAAGTGAGAGCTATAATACACTGTACAACTTTGTTCGGATTTCAGGGGGTCATGAGAATTTTGTGACGTCTCTTTAGGTAGCATAGTTGCAAATGTAAAAGTAATAACAAATTAAACTATGTAATTTGCTTTTTGTAATTCAGGTTCCTCTGTCGCGTGGAGTGAGAATTGCACCCTCCTTTTCCAAAATGCTTTTCAGACTCCAGTACCCTCGCAAAGCGGGGGTGGTTTTGGGGGTATGTGTGTGTGCTGCGACTGCACCGCAGAGAATACTTTGGAACCACTTTATTACTTTTTTAAAAAAAGAAACTTGTTACCACCTTTAATTAAGCTGCTTCTAACGTGTCAGGTGAGATGCGCAGCACTGGAAGAACGCAACTGCTGCCTCCGACCCTTTCCCCGTCGCATTGCCAAGCATTTATTTTCACGGAGAAGGCTGACCATCCTTTCTTCTCGGCTGCAAATGCACTAATTTAATACATTCAAGATACATTTAGAGATACCATGAAGTAACACAGTGGGTGTCTTCGCTGTCTGGAATTATTTATAAAAATAAATGCAGACGGGATATAAATAAATTAACGTGGCTGGCTGGCAAAATTCTGGGAGTGGAAGTCACAAATCTTAAGTTTGGCCAAGTCTGGATACCCCTGATGTAGACAGCGTTCCTCCCAGATCCACGCTCATTTTCCTGCCTTTGTTCCCTCCACTTTCAGGCTGTGGGTGATAAAAGCCCTGCTGCTGCAGTTCTGCTCCAAAAGTTCCGATCTAAACGCGCCGGCAGCAACCCTCCTCGCGGCGACGCTCAAAAGTTCAAAAAAACCAAACCAACTTAGACGTAAAGGAATCCCCGCGGGGAAGCTTTCTTCCCGCCCTCGGATGTGTGACGTAATTCCGGAGGTGGGCGGGGAGAAGGAAGCCGCCATTTTGTTTGCTTGGGTACTTGATAAGGGGGCAAACTGAGGTCTTCCCACCTGCTCGTAGCTAGGAAGGGACGGGGAAATTGGTAGCGCTTCTTTTTCCCTCGTCAGGTCAGTTTTGTGGAGAGGAAAAAAGGTAGGTGTGAAGTGGAGCGTCTTTGTGACCCATCTCACGGGGAAGAAAGCATTAATGTTCCGGTTGGGGTAATGAGGGGAGCAAATCGACGATAAAGTTTCTATAATTTCAAATTTTCTTTTTTCTTTCCCCGAGGTATTTGAATAGCAACAAAAGAGGTTCTCCCCCCTCCCCAACGCGATACTTTTCCTGAGGTTAATTATTGCAGTTTTACCTTAAAAGAATAGCAAACGGTATGACTTAAATTTAGCTCATTAGATATACTGGTATGGTCCACGTTGTATGTCAGCAGCGATCCCACGAGTAGAAATCTGTTTTTCCAGTCTTATCTGGAGTTGACTAAATAAATATGGGACTGGGCGTGTGGAAGTTATATACTACATCTTTGTGTGGAGGAGAGAGAGTCGAATTTTTGACTGCATAACAAATAATCAGCCTCGAATAATCACAGCCGATTGAGTGTAATATCGAAATAGTATTTAGATAGATGCACCCCTCTTTTGTTTTGGGACTTCGCTAATTGCCAATAAAATAGATCTACAAGAAACATCGTAATATAAAGGTTAAAAAGGAGCATCGTTGCACTTAATGCTGAGAAGCCACAGTATTAATTGTTCCTTGCATTGTATTGTCAGGGATGCCTGTTGCCCCTCTCTCCCAGTTTAAGCCGAGCATGGTTTTTAACAAAAGGTAGTTGAGACATACATTATGAGCAGACAACATTGATTTTTAGTGAGTTTACACATTGCAGCAAACCTTGGTAGGATACAGTTCCTGTTGATTTAGCAGGTTCTGCAAACACAGCCATTATGATTTATTCATAAACCATAGCTTTAACAATGTTTAAATGTCATCAGCATCTTTCATGCCTATTACGGTAGATATGTACCTACCTATAGGCATGACTTCTGGTACTAGTGCCTCGTCCTGGACATTTTGGAAGTGTTAACCTGCTCATGAGAAGATAGCCTTGTAGAATTCTCTAGAGATCTAAATAGTAATGATAAATTGTAAAGTGTTAGTAATTCTGAAGGTTGTTTTTATTTAGGAGAGAGCAAGAATGCAATCAGCCTCTAAAATTGTTTGAGAGTAAACCTGAAATTTACGTGAAGTGAAAAAAATTGTAAACTGAGGGGTTCATTGTAAGCATTCTTAGAGATGTTTATAGAACTGACTGAGCCATGGGGAGTCACTCATTTTTCCACTGCATGTTTATTCAAAATTTAATACTCCTGGACTACTAAACTGATTACTCTTATGCACATTGAAAGCAATATGATCACACAGGGAGCTTACTCTTTTGCAATCCCTTCCTGTCCGACCTCTGCTCTTTGCAAAGGAACGGGAGAGAAAAAAGCAAGTGGTTTCTGTGAGCAGTCTCTCCTTTGCCTGAACCTTTCCCCTTTGGTTTGGTTTGCCTTCTAATCACTGCCCCACTCTTCAGAATCCTTGAGTTCCCTGCTTAATATCTTATATGCATCAAAAGCAATGTGATTATGCCTGCAGTCCAGGGCTGGGAGCCCGGGATGGGCCATACATACAGTTTACTGTACCTTTTCTCATTGCCAGTGTGATCATATTGCTTTCAATGCATAGAAGAGCAAACAAGAATTTACTCTCTTGAAATTTTTTCCTCTCCAGTTTTTCTAATCTGCAGGGGATATGGGAGAAAGGTCAGCTAAAGAGAGATTGCTCTCATAAATTGTTGCTTTTCCCCTGCCCATGCTACAATTTGCAGAATGAAGAGATTGTAGAGAAAGGGATTTGAAGGGATTAAGTTTCCAGCCCCAGTCTGCCCTAGCAATCACTTCAAGACAATCTAACCTAAAATATTTCTATGTCTTGATAAGTAGCATATTGGGTTCAAGTAATGAGGAATTGGAGGGAATACAACAAATGGGCAGAAATTCTCTCGAATTTAAATAAATGGTTCTGTTTTTACAGACTTCAATATTTTTTGTAAACTGCTCTGCTGTTAAAGTAACTCTGAAGTAAGTCTCACTTTGTAATGAGGTTTATTTCCACTAAACTGAAATTAGAATACAACCTTACTTTCATTTGCCATATTCAAGTAAAATCAACTCCTATTGAAATAATATGAGTCCTTTTTGGCTTAATATTTAAGGTTGTGCTTTTAATTTGTTTTAAATAAACTAGCATGTAACACTTTTATCTTGATAGATTTTCTTTTAAAAGATGAAGCACTCAAAACAAGCTGCTTATTCTGAAGAGGATGATAAAGGAAAAGAAAAGACTACAAATAGCAGAAAGCATAGGAAGAAGTCTCAGAGTAGTGAAAGAAATTACAGATGCTATAAATCACTTAAATCTGCAGACAGGTATTTAAATATATCTTTCTAATTATAAATATAGTATAGGATAATTATATAAATAATTATATAATGATTATAAATAAGGTTTAAAGAAGTGAGAGCTGCTTTTATCTGTTTGGTTTTCTGGAAAGGTATTAAAACAACTTTTCCAGTTGGCTTGGGTATTGCTCACCACTGGAAGTGGTTGATGGGATACAAAAATCTCATCCCTGTGCCATCCATTTCCTTAGTTCTAGATTTTATATAATTTTTTAAAAATTGTTTTTATATTTATCTTTTTACTGTTTGTAAGTTGCCTTATCAGGGAGATGGTCGTCATATAAATGTAATAAATAAGAAACTGTTACTTTAGTACATTTATGTAAATGTTTTTATTTGATTTGATTTTATATATATATATTTTTTGCTCTTATGTTTTTTTAAAGTAGTTTAATTAGTATTATAAATGATGTCTGTGTTCCTTTGTTTTTATTTAGTGAGACAAGGATAAGAATTCCTTTTATAGTAATATTGTTCACTGAAGTTCTAGAAGGTAAAAATAATTTGCTATAGTAAGGAAAGGAACCAACAATTTCTTTGGATACATTTATGCAAAGTTTTTGTGAGCTAAGCTTGCAAAGTACATTTTCATGTCTAATATTAATTGGATGCTTTGTCCAAGAGAAGGATTATATTGATAGTACTTAATATAATTTTCATGTGATCATTATAATGCTGATTTTCTCTTTTTAAATGTCTACTTTTATATTTGTATTCTTTTCTACTGACTATTGTATGTCGCTCAAAGTTACTTCTTGTGAGATGGACAGCTCTATACATTTGATTAATAAATAAATTTTAAAATTATCTGAAGTTGAGATATTTACACTGTATGTTTTTAAACTTATTTTATTTATTTGCTGAACTACCTCTTTATGGAAAGTGATAACATTGAATTCCCTGGAGAATAATTTCAGTGTAATTCTTTATTTTATTGCTGTTTTTATTGGATGTGTGAGCCCTATCTCTTGAACCCTGCCTTATCTATTGAACCCTCAGCTATTTTCTTTTCAAGAATCTAATAGACCCTTGTTAGTGGCCAGCTCTTGACTGTGGTTCATCTCTGCCATACCTATGGAGGCATAAAAACAATTCATGTACAAACTGCATAGCCTAAATTGATTGCTGCTAGTCAGCAATGATATATGAGGAGCTGGTGTCCTTGAGAATGATCCTGATCATTTTCACTCAGTAGTTCATAACTTACCCTCCCCATAGAACCAAAGCAAAGGGGCTTTTTTAGCATCTGTGATGTCCATTAAAAGCTCAACTATTATGCAGATCAGTCTAAGCTCATTTTAGTCCAACATTTTCATTCTCAATAGAAACCCAGATGTTCCTGTTCTTACAAACAGAAGAGGGATATATACTCCCTTCTTACCATTGTTCCCTTATATCTTATATATGGGAACATCCCAAATCTGGAAGTAAACTGAATCTTCAACATTATTAACCCCTAGTAGGTATGTTCAATATTCTTTTAAAAACTTCCAGTGACTATTATGTGATAATGAATTATTCAGACTGATTATAAGCTATGTGAAAAAATACTTCCTTTTATTTGTTTGCTTATTCTTCAAAGTGAACTTCATTGGATATCCCCTAATCCTAACATAGCTATGCAACTGTCTTTCAGCTGCTCAGTGCAGCAAGGCTGAAGCACTTTGGGGAGATGCTGTGAAATTGACAGTTGAGGATGTTTGGCTGTTATGTGGATAGTTGTGTTAGCTGCTTCCCAAGACCTGGGAAAGGGAATGGGTAAGTGTGAGAAGGTAAAAGTGATGGTGGAGAGGGGGAGATTGTAGTTGGCCTTTAGGGAGTAGTGAGTTTGTTACTGCTGCATAGCCTGTGCTACTTCACATTGTCTTTGGATTAATAGTGGAATCTCCAGAAATGACAGCCTTTGGAGACTTTACCTTTGGAGACTTTCATACATAGTTCAGGACCACCCTAGCAAGCATGAACCTGATCCAAATCATTAAAGGATGTAATATACAGAAATAATCGGGTGTTAGATCTAGATTTTATCTCAGGGTAATTATAACATGATCTAACCAGATATAAGGTTCTATCAGTCCTGTGTCATGGTCAGACTGATTGTTTTGGGGTTGCTGGTGCTGTCTTACCCACCCACCATTAGAAAGAGGTTGGACTTATTGAAAATTACTAGGCAAGAAAGGGACCTTGAGTTAGAATCTGACTGGGCAGTCTGGTCACATTTCTGAAGCATAACCTTGTCATGTTTGGGAATGCTTAATCCTATGACAGCTGAGGAAGAGAACATGGCCTTTGGGATTGTTAATCTAGTTGCCTGTTAAATCCAGTTTCCTTCTGGTTGGATACATGAATGGTGAATTCATCCTTGAATGAGAGGATGCTTTTGCCTAACTTGTTGATAGTGTATATTACCTAAAAAAACTGGACCCTATAGTGGCAGACAATTGTAGCCCAGTCTTCATTCTTTCTATCTAGGAAAGTTGTTGAAAAGGTGATCAAATTGCAGCTTTAAAAGACAGATTATCTGGGCCTGCTTCAGTCAGGTTTCAGGCCCAGGCAAAGTAGAGAGACAACATTTGTTATACTTGGTGGTAACCCCTGTCAGTGCCAGGATGTCCTGATTCTTCTTGACATCTTTCAATATTTTCATAGTATCTTTCTGGATTAACTGTGAGGATTGGAAGTGGGAGACATGAAGTTGTTTAGTGGCCAGCTGCTCAATCTGTTTTAATTTTTTTTTTTTTTGCTTTGAATGTGTTTAAGGATGTTCTTATTCTCCTTTAAGTTTTTTGCCACGTGCTTCTCAAAATTCTTGTATGTATTCCTTATCATATATGTTTTCGGCCAGGTTTTATGCTCCTTTTCGTTCCCATTAGGATAGCTTTACTATTCTAAAGATAGCCTTCTTTTGCATGTTCTGGACACAAATAGAAAGCCATTTTGGCCTCTTCCTGGTTTTGGTTGAGCCTTTCATATATTTTGAAATATATATAGTTGAACATCAATTATTGTAATTTTAAGTAATCTCTATGCAGCATGACTACTTTTTGTTTATATTCAGATGTGACTGTTGGATGCAACTGGCAGTTTCCCATTGCATATTTGCTAAATGTAATAATTATATTAATTCTAGACAGTTACATCTCACTTGAGATCATGGCCACTGCTTAAAATTGAATCTAAGTTTATTTCTGACATAGTTGGTTCCAAGATCAACTGTTCTATGACATAATTATTTAGGTATTTAAATATTTGGTTTTTTTTTTTGTTAAATATGTACCAGTAATCAAGTGACTTCCATTATTATTACGCCTCTGAATTATTTCAACAACTCAAGATCTCCTCAGTATTTTGATTGGCTGGGCAATAGCATATCCTTAGATTGTGACCAGATATAATGGCACCTTAGTGATTCTACGAAAGTACCTTGTCCTACAATATTTTCTACTACATTAGATTTGAATCCTGACTATATATATATATGTAAAAGAGAAACTCTTTTCCAAGACATTCTGCCCTGCCAAACATTATATCGTGTTTGTATTTGGAATTACTATATTCCATTGGTTCTTGCCAAATCTGTTCTCTCTACTATACCTTTGTTTATGGCTTTGAGACTGCTAGCAGGTACATGTTGGTATTCAAATGTTGATATAAGCCTTTTTCATATTTTCGTTTTTTTTTTACAATTTTTCAATGGACATAACTATTCATTAGTTCACTACACAATGGCCCTATTTCTTATAGTATTTCCTACACCCTTCCAGATTAGATGCTCTCTGGATTCAGCATAAAGCTGCTCCAGTACATTTGTAATATTATGTACCTGCAGCCTGGATCCATTTCAGGTGTCTCTCCTCCCAAAACATTCTGTGGTATTGAACGAATTTAAATCTCTTCTCCTTACATAGTCTCATTCATACATTTGGACCTCTGAGCATTTCTTTCTGCTGCATATAGGGCAAATAACATTTGTGAGAATGCTGACTTGGCATTTAGTAAGATGGCATCCTGGATTTAGTAAGCAGCCTAAATTTGGCTATGAAGAATGGCACACTATATATCTTAATACAATTGGTACCAGTACAGTATGGATACAACTACTCCTTCCTTCCCAGCACTGTTGAGCAGCTTATCTAGATGGGATACAAAAATTTAAAGTTTTGCATCAGACAGGCAAGCAACCAGATACATTATAAATGTATTTATTTTTTATCTGTTGTTCTAATAGAATCACTTACAATCCAAAGTTTCCAAAGAAATATCTTTGGTCTGAGAGAATAGGGATTCATCACTGGGCTCATGGGAAACATCTTATCTTCCAACCAATAACTTTCTTCTCCAGGACCTGTCTTCTCCCTGATAAGAAAAGTCATCATGGGAAAGTATCACATCTCAGAAGGTTTTGTCTACATTTTTTTCTGGCTGAACATTTCCAGTTCTATCGTGTTAGTTTTAAGAGAACTAGCTTGTTCCCTTGACTGAGGAACACGGTCCATTTGTACATCTGACATCTCTAAAACCACTCCCTCCATTAATGGCTTTTTATCTGTATGCTAATTATTGTTGATAATTTAGTATTATTCTTTAAAAATTATTTGACCCAAAAAGAGTTTGAAGCGCTGACTTCCTTACCCAATAGCTACACCCACAGTGATGTTTGGTCTTCAAAGATAGTGGTCACTGTACTCTTCTCTTGCAAAATTCTTCTGCATCTCTTTGTTCACTCTGGTTGTGAGCTCCCAGTTGCCACTGTTTTTTCCTAAAAGTCCTATTTTCAGTTGAATTGTTAGCTAAAAAAATGACTCCGTTGCTTAATTACTTGTTTTAATTTGTCATCAGTTTATAAAAACATATTTTATTGTTAAAAAAAACCCCTACAATTTCAATGAAATTACATAGGATTTTTTGACACAGGGTTGTGGAAGGAACACGTCCTCAGGATGAAGGAGAGTATTGAGAGGGCCACTTGGGAAAGAAACTTTGCACATTAAAGCTTCCTAAGTCATGACTGTATTTTTCTGAAGCGCTGGGCAATCTCCCTTCCTTAGCATTTGTGCTTGCTGAATTCAGAGATGTTCTTATCCTGCCCTGTATATGGGTTTGTTGTTTTAGAATATCCTCAGATGAGATGAAGTATCTAAATCAAAGGTCCCCAACCTTTTGGGCACCAGGGACCAGTTCTGTGGAGAGAGGTTTTTTCATGGATCCAAAGGATGCCTGGTTTTGTGTGCTGCCTGCATCCCACAGATGGGGTTTTGCTTGTTTGTGCGGGCCAGTTGCTGGCATGCTGCGGCTTGGTACTGGTCCACAAACTGGGGGGGAGGGGGTTTGAGGATCTAAATCAGGGGTTCTCAACCTTGGCAACTTTAAGACTTGTGGACTTCAACTCCCAGAATTCCTCAGCCAGCAAAGCTGGCTGAGGAATTCTGGGATTTGAAGTCCACAAGTCTTAAAGTTGCCAAGGTTGAGAATCCCTGATCTAAATAGTTCTTGTGTTGCTCAGCATAAGCAATCCACACACTCAGGTGGGATAGTTCATTGATTATGATTTTTTATAATGATAGTAATTATAAAGTTTCAGTTATGTCTGCTTGCTGTTTTTACTAATGCCCTGAATTTTGAGTAGCTATAATAACAACTTTCATATGGTTACTCTCTACTTAATTTCTATAATAGAGTAAACAATATATTTTCCATCTGAACTCTAAATAAAAAGGAATTCTAATAAAATATTGTGCATTTTTGGAAGCTTATTAGAATATAGAAAAATATTACTGGTGTGCAGAACATTTAAAATCCAAGCCATCTCAAACTCAAAACAGCTCATCTAGATTGAAATACTGTATTTGTTTTGAGTTTGAAACAGATGCTTCACATTCGAAACAGGATCTTCTGATTCTTTCAGAAATATTTTAAGCTTGAATGAACAAATATGGAATAGCTGTTTCGAACATGAAGCACACATTTTGAATTTGAAAAAGGTCACGATGGAAATATTTTGCACACATTTATAAAATATATTCGTTTTTAATTACTTTTTTGAAATGGGGAAATAATGTAAATATATTTTCAGTAACTACTTGGATGATAGATCCACACATGAGAGAGACCAACATGACCGAAGATATGTTGAGGAATATCGAAATGACTTCTGTGACATAGATGACCATGAGCATTGTCACAGACATTATGAAAAGAGCCATTGCCATCATTATAGTAAATCATCTTGTCAAAGTGGGAAAAAGAATCATAAACGAAAGCATAAGAAACACAATTCCAGCTACAGTTCACATCCGGTATGTATGATTTAAATAATAAATATATTATTGTTTTTAGGCTACTTCAAGGAATATTAGATTCTCTGGATATAAATGTTTGAAGATTTGATATGAAGTCTACATTTTATTTTTATTATTTCTGTGTATGTATGCATGTGGATTCTACTATAGTGAATGGTATTAACTGTATTGAGTTTTCATTTGGCTTAATTTGTCAAAAACTTTAGAAAACTCAAATTACTTTGTTGCCTCTTAACTCGCAGCTCAAAAAATAAAAATAGCTGATTTGCCTTTACTTGAATTAGCCTTACAGCATGGTGAAGCAATCTTGTCTAGTGTGTTCCTTATTCTTCAAAATGGATCTGTTTCAGGGGAATTAGTTCATTAATATATCTGTAATGAATTCATCATGTTACTGTAAAACAGTTTCAAGGAAATATTAGGTATGGAATGATTTTATTATTATCAGAGAATGAATCATTTCAATAGTTAGCAAGATCTGAATATTTTACAAAAAATAAAAGTACTTTTATTGTATACATTCAAATTTAAAAATGTTGAGATGCAAGATTTTGCTCTTGCAGATGTATATCACCAGAATACTAGACAGAATTTTACGAATTTTATTAATATTTTTCTCTTTAGCTGGTCCAATTATGGAAAATAGTTGCATGAATAACCTGTTGATAAATATTAATCAAATTATACGTTTTTTAAAAAAAAATCGAGATCAGATCTGTTTTATAAAGATAAAAATGACAAAAATTGTTTTTGACTAGCAGAAGTAATTTAGATTATAATTTTAATTTCAATCTTCTGTTAATGTAAAATTTAAGAGACAAAATTGTGTTGTGTTTCTGTTGTCTTACAACTTTAAGTATTTATCTGAAAATCTGTTCCTTGCCATGTTTTTCTTCTGTAACATAAACTGTGCCCTGTGAATTTCTGGGGACTGAATTTGAAATTGCTCCTGCCAACTGTTCGTGGCCTGGTGTGTAACTGAATGCCTGAATATCCCGCTGAATGAATTGCGTAATCTACCCCGAATTCACTCTGATATATTGATTGGCTGGACGATCTTGGTGCCGTTTCCAGAAGAGACACCGAAGGAAAAGATCCAGGAGTGTAGAGGAGGAGGGTCACCTGATCTGTCAAAGTGGAGACGTACTAAGAGCAAGATGTATAGAATATTTTTCAACATTTTAAAAAAAATGTCAGCAAAACATCTGTTTAGTATAGTATGTTAGATGAGAAGTGGGGGTGGGGCTAAGAAAGCTTCATTGCTCTCTTTTATCTTTTGTTTTGTCTTTGTATTCTATTTCTTTTCTTTTTCTGTACTCTTAAATATTGCTGTTTAGACAACCACAGCAGTAAATAATGCTTAAAGTTAGATTGATAGCTAGATAAGTATTTTTTGACACCTATCCAATAAAAGTAACACATTCCGAAGCAGACAGTAAATGTTATAATGATAGACTTAATGGTGTTCAGCTTTATTCAGATAATTCAATAACAGCTGGAATTTGTTTCTTTTTTCTTTTTTTTTAGATGAGGTTATTGCTACTTTAGGGGAAGGCGCTTTTGGGAAAGTTGTAGAATGCATTGATCATGACATGTATGTATCCTGTTTTCTCAAAAGTATTACCAAATGAAATGTGTTTATATGACGGTAGAAATCCTTCTGCACATGTTATTAATTTAAGCAAATCAAACGTCAGAAAAATAGTTCAAAAATAATTATATGGTAGCCAATTATAATTAATTTTTTCTGTATCTTCTGCACTCAAAGTGTAAACCTAGCATGATAACGAAAGTTTTGCAGTCCAAACCCTAGCTCAGAAAAGTCTTAACAATGCAACATGCCAACTCCAAGCTACATTAAACCCATTCTCTTTACTTTTATCTTGACACATGCAACCAAGAATACTAGGCTATAATAACAAATTAAACTTAAAAAAACCATAATGAGGCAAACATGACAAAAGGTCAGGTATTTGTTAAGAGGCCTTAACAAATACCTTGCAGTCTAGGCTATGGGACTATGAGGTTCTAGCCTATTGTCAGACAATCCTTTCTTGTGGCTGGCTGCTTGGAGAAGTAAGGGCATTGCAAAGAGAATGCCCCTGCCCCACCCACTGTTTCTTTCTGGTGTGCTTGCTCTGTAGCTTCCATGAAATTGCTCTTGAAGCAATTTCCGTAGAAAAAAAGACATATTCTTCTAATGAGAACTGGAGTTTTTGTTGAATTCAATTTTAAATGTTGCGCTTTGTATTTTCAAGCTTAGGGATTTGATATTTTTATTTGCTATTATTAAATGTATATGCCGCCAAACTCATCTTCATTGAACCCTTTTACTGATTGTTTTAATAGGATATTGGATTATATGTTTATCGTCTTGGTGTTTTGGTGATTGTAAGGAAGGTGTTTACTCTGTTGTGTAAAGAATTCTATTTACTACTAGTATTTCATATTTTGTTTTTATTATTTTGAATTTATTGTTAGGATCATTGAAGGGGATGTTAAAAATAATAACTTCTACTAAGTTGCCACTTTGTTTCCTGGCATCTCCTTCTATTTTCGAAGAGAAAATTGCTAGATAGGAAAGAGAAAATATTATATGGTCTCATGGTTGCAAGATATGGAGACAGTGTTAACTTATTTTTCTTTTGCCTGAAGCTCCATAGAATACTGCTCAGATGCTTTAGGAGACTCTGGTTCATCATGGGAAATAATGCCGACAATTACAAAATTGGTAAAAAAAAAAAAAACTCCTCGTCAGCTCTTGACTCTGGGGGTCTTGTCTTGATCAGTATGTAATCATTCTTATATTATCCTGGTAGGGTTTGATGGTGATATGTACAATATGACCAGACTGTAATACCAGAAAAGGTTTCAAATATTATTTACATATAAAAAAAGAATGTTCTAAAGTTATACTTTCATTAACTGTTGCATAACATTTTAATATTTCTAAATCAGGACATGTAATCCCATCTATCAGTATCAAGTATCAGATAATAAAGATTACAGCTGATTTTTTTCTTATATGCTTGAAAAAGGCTGAAGTTAAATTGCAGTATTTTATTTTATTTCTCAGGAGAGAGATGCATGTAGCTATAAAAATTGTAAAAAGTGTTGGTAGATATCGAGAAGCAGCTCATTCAGAAATACAAGTATTGGAGCATTTAAATACCTTGGATCCTAATAGTACATTGTAAGTATAAACTAAAACATTAATACTATGTTTTTTAAAAAAAATTTTTACTGTTTTATTAATGTCTTGTTTGGATGATGTTTTTATTTCCTAGTCGTTGTGTCCAGATGTTGGAATGGTTTGAACATCATGGTCATGTCTGCATTGTATTTGAACTGCTGGGACTCAGTACTTACGATTTTATTAAAGAAAATAGTTTTTTGCCATTTTCTATTGAACTGATTAGGAAGATGGCTTTTCAGATTTGTCAATCCATAAACTGTAAGTATATTTAATAATTAAAGAATTATTTATATCTATAATACTATACAGGAATTTAAGTATTGAGTGATTACTTCTTTTTCTTTTTCCAGTCTTGCATCACAATAAGTTGACTCATACAGATCTAAAACCTGAAAATATTTTATTTGTAGAGTCTGATTATGTAGTAAAGTACAATTCTAAAATGGTAAGTGCTAAAACATTTCTTGATAGGTTGTTCCTATGCATTTTTTATTCTGTACAATGTAGCTGCCATAACTTTTTTTTAGTATGAGGTTCCTGTGTAAAATATTTAGTAAGGCCATAGTCAGTAAAATTATTGCACGAAGCACTTGACTTCTTTAAGAAAGTTTATTACTTGGATCACAATATATTCCAATTATAAGAGATTCAAGAAATACAACTAAAATAATGTGTTTTTTTAAAACTTGTTACAGAGGCGAGATGAACGCACCCTGAAAAACACAGATATTAAAGTTGTAGACTTTGGTAGTGCAACATACGATAATGAACATCACAGCACTTTAGTCTCTACACGTCATTATAGAGCTCCTGAAGTTATACTTGGTTAGTAAAACTTCTCAAAGTAATTTATTAGTTTAATGTTCTATAAATAATAGTAAGAATCTTTTTCATACATAACTTTATAATATTCATGATGTTACTATTCCTCCCTATCTTTTCCTATTTTTATAAGTAATGGGGGAAAGACTGATGGTTTAAGAAGTCAGGTAAGTATTATTAATTCATGATTTTCAACCTGAGTATCATGAAGTAATCAGAATGTTGTGAATTGTGTTACAGCACTTGGTTGGTCACAGCCCTGTGATGTCTGGAGTATAGGCTGCATTTTGATTGAATATTATCTTGGTTTCACTGTCTTCCAGGTATGCATATAACTTTTTGCTTATAATTCTAGAGCTAAATGGAACATTGAATCTACTTTGGCTTTGTTAACCCTTTGATGTAAAATCTTACGGAATGTGGGTAAGATTATTTATCAGAACTTTATATCATCTACAGAAGATGGGTGGCATATACATTTAATAAATCAATCAATTAGTGACAAGAATTGCTTACTTTAATACAGTATGGCTGAATTACTCGAGCCTTACCTAAATGCTTCAAGTACTGTGGTTACTATTCTGGAAGTGACCAATTTCTGAGTACTTCTGGCATGGTCAGAAGACTCTTAGAACATTTACAATGAGTTCAGAACAATCTGTTACTAAAATCAAACGATCATTCTGCATTCAGAACTGTTCCAATGTAAAATGTTATGCACAGCACTAAAAAAGAGTGCACATTGAATAAAGGTAATAATTACTTAACCACATTTGGTAACCACAACTCCATCGGTAAGTAATGTGATTATTAAGTGAGTCTTCATGCAGTTTTACTCCAGTCTTCTTCATTGTGACCTCTTTTTGGAAGTGGATTGTGAAGCATGCAAATGGTGGTCGCTGCGATGGTCTGAAACACTCGAATTTTGATAACGTAAACATGGGAATTATGTCAGAGCCATTGTGCCTTTAAATGATCACTAAACAGGGAAATTATTCAGCAAAGACTACTGTAAAATGTACAGTTGATGAACACTGCATTCCAGGTTTTTGCATAGTTCCAAATTCCAGAACCCTGGAGACTATAAACAGTTGTCCTTTTTCTGTGAAAAAATGTGATATGGGCAAAGAGTATTCTGATTGTTAATACTTACATTTTAGTATACTCTTAATTTTTTTGGGCTGATTTTGTTTTTTGTTTTTTTGCAGACACATGACAGTAAAGAACACCTGGCAATGATGGAGAGGATACTTGGGCCTTTACCAGCACACATGATTAGAAAATCACGGTATGCTAGTTTAAATTGTGAACCTGTTTTTTACAAAAAAATTCAAAGAAAACCTTTTTTTTGGGGGGGGGGAATAAGAATATGTCATGCTAGTAATATTTGCATAGGAATTTATTTGCATCAAACCAGACAAAAGAATCAGGGTTTATGATCCTATGCAAATATTACCAGCATGACATACTTTTATGTATTGTTAGAAATATCCTTGGGCAAGGAAAGTTTCCTTTCCAATGTTAAGACCACATGCTTAGAAAAGAATAACTCAAACTGCTGCCAACATTACCCCCTCACAGCAAAATAGGTGACAAATAAATTTAACAAATAAATAAAATGATTTTGGGAGCTTTTATTTCTGTGTATTTAAAATACACAGCAATGGTTCTGGGTGCTGGGTGCCCAAATAAATAACTGTAAATTAAAATGCACTGTAGGGGTAGCATCAGTGACAGTATTTTTTTAATGGAGAAATTAATGATAGTTGAAAAAGTAGCTGAAGTCTATGTGCAACCTAAAAACAAGCATCAAGAAGAAAGATGAAGGAAAGGATCCCTAAAGGAGCTTGAGAAAAGGAAGAGTACATGAGAGCTTAAGGAAGAAAATATAAGTTTTTGAAATATTTTGAGTTTGAAAAGAGCTGAGTTTGGAACAAATTATTCAAAGTTCAGACTGCATTGCTTGAAAAACTTGAGTATCGACAAAATAATGCATTTCAAATTTTAATAGATTTGAATGACTCTGTAAGCACATAGGAGTAGCCGCTTATCTTTTACTGCCTTATACACAAGGCTGAAGTTAAAACAGATGTTTATTATATACTATGGGTATAAGTTTCAATTGAATTTAATGTACTATCATTTTACATAGGATTGTATTAAGGATATTATAAACACTCAAGGAGAATGAAGCACTTATGAATTTACTTATGAATGAATACATTATATTTGTAAACTGCTCAGTCATACTGATAACCCAAAAATGGAGATTGGCAAGTTACAGATAGCCTTTTTGTATATAGGAAATGTTATTTTCATCATAACCAACTGGACTGGGATGAACATAGCTCTGCAGGCCGTTATGTTAGGAGACGATGCAAACCACTAAAGGTAAGAGGGGGGGGATTTTTTCTCCATTTAATTATGAAGTTCTACGTGTATTTTTTAGAGTCAGCTTTTCTCTCTTTTCCCTAGGAATTTATGCATTGTCATGATAAAGACCATGAGAATCTTTTTGATCTCATCCGCAGGATGTTAGAATATGATCCAGCCAACAGAATAACTTTAGATGAAGCCTTGGAGCATCGCTTCTTTGATTTCCTAAAAGATAGATAGCTTTTCCTGTCTTCCTTTAAGGAGATGATAAGGACAAGGTCTGTCAACATCTGTTGTGAGATGTTGTAAATAATAAATTAATTTGTACAGTTGTTTCTGTAAATATAAGCATTACGTGTCTATACTGATGCTCCTGTATTATTTGGTTGAGCAGTTACAGCTGATCATGGATGTTATCATGTAAACATGTTTGCATGCCAAAGTATATAAATTTTTGCTTGTTGATCATTCTTTTGAGTCGGTCTTTTTTGTTCCATGTTGATGGATTGGTTCTCATTGGAATCCTTGGTATTCTCAGTCACCATATTCAAATCTACGATTCAAAAGTATCTTTACATTTTTCACTCTTTCTGTTTCCACTTTCCCCTGACACATGACCTTGACATAGTGCAGTGGCTTAGTACCTTCAGTGACCCTGAAAAGGACAGACAGAGCTATACGTTCCTGCTAATGGTGAAAGAATAAAGTTGATGTTATAGGCAATCTATAACAGGGAGAAGGGAGACAAGAGGGAAACCAGGCTACCTGCAGCAAGAAACTCCAAAATCATATTTGAAGAAGATAGTGTCAATCCCTTTTTCTATTGTTTTCAAAGAAACTTAAGCAAGAAAATATATTAGAATTGGTAAAACCATTTGAATTTTTGTGAAAGACTCTTTTAACATAGCTATATTAATTTTTGAATGGTTTATTATAACCATAGAAAAAATATTTATTGTATTTTTATATTGTTCTTGATCCAAATAATTTAGTTGGGGTACTTCCCATTTTATTCTCATAACAATATTATGAACTAATTATAAAAAGAGGCTGTTTGAACCAAGGTCATCCAAAAATGTAACAAAACAAAATGCTGAGTCAAATTAATTGCAAATAACTCTATTCAGCTGACCCATCAGTTATTATCAATGTCAGATACTGTGTGGTGCCAGAAATTTCAGGTTAATTATGTTGTCATTAAAAGTTGGACTTTAATGTTCATAAGTCATTACAGCAATTTCATGAGGCATTCATATAACTACATGCTTTGGCCAACAGCCCATATTTTATCTCCCATTCATCTTTTCCCCCCTCCTTTCTCTGGAAAACTATTCAAGTAGAATGACACAAAGAAGTTCAGATTTCAGAAGAAATGAAAACTCCCCAGCGATTCACTTTCCACAAATTTTTGGAGATGTGTGATTAATACAAGCATTAATACTCTTCACCGCTTATTTCTTTCCCTTAAATATCTAAATTTGCATGAGTCTGCTCTATTTTTCATCTTTCCTTGCCAGTTCAGAAGTGTACTTTTAATTATTCTGTGTACTATAGTTTTTGGAGAATTTTATTTCACATGAACACAAATTTGCATTTTGGACATCTAGAATTCTTTGGTTGTAAAAAATGCAATTGTTTGTTTTCGTGGAAATGATTTTGCTTATAGACAGGAAAAGTCACAATTCTCCCTTTCTGTAAATTTTCTTATAGTGCTGCTGATGTTCTATAGCAGCTTGTGAGAAGTCTGCAGGGTGAACTGTTCCCAGTTCATACGATACTGGCTGCCGTTCATAAATTATACTTTTATGGCAGTCAAGCATTTATTTTCTTCCAAAATTTAATGTTAGTGTTGCTTTTTTTAAAGTAACTTTATAAAATAAACAGTGAAGAACTGGCAATTAATATATCTGGGAGTTGCGATGAAAAGATCAGAACAGAGGAAATTGTGGAACTTCCAATTAAAAGGACTGAAGTGGATTGGACATGTGTTTATAATAAATTCAAGTACCACTCATCACAATTTGCTAATGGGGATGAACAGACAACCAACTTTGAAAATAGGGAAGTTAGTGGTTCAAATAAAGTATAGGAAATATTGCTTTAAAGGAGACCTATTTAGTCACTTTTATATTAACATGAAAGTTGGACCATAAGAAAGGCTGAGCGCCAAAGAATTGAGGCCTTTGAACTATGGTGCTGGAGAAGACTCCTGCGAGTCCCTTGGACTGCAAGGCGTTCAAACCGGTCAGTCCTAGAAGAGATCAACCCCGACTGCTCTTTAGAAGGCCAGATCCTGAAGTTGAAACTCAAATACTTTGGCCACCTAATGAGAAGGAAGGACTCACTGGAGAAGGGCCTAATGCTGGGAAAGATTGAGGGCAATAGAAGAAGGGGACGACAGAGAATGAGATGGCTGGATGGAGTCACTGAAGCAGTAGGTGTGAACTTAAATGGACTCCAGAAGATGGTAGAGGACAAGAAGACCTGGAGGAACATTGTCCATGGGGTCGCGATGGGTCGGACACGACTTCGCAATTAACAACAACAACAATATTAACAGGTCTCTTTTTCATTAATATGCCTATTCAAACTGCTCTTCAGGGACAAAAGAATGATTAGTATTCTGTGATTGCTATGACTTGCCAGGGTATTGGTAAATAATTTATAATTTTATATATTTTAGTGAAATGCTACTTTTTAATTTCTACAACATTACTAATGGTGCTTGGAATTCAATAACTGGTTACAAGGTTAGTGATTATTACAGCAGTAGTGTTCATATTCATATTTAAGTCAGAAGTATCCAATATTGGCATCTTTATCGACTGGCACAAGGTGGTTTCATCAGCATGCCTTGATGTAAATCTCTGTCCTGGGCAGTTGCAGTGGAAGTCCTGACTTGGTATAGGTCTGGAGGCTGTTAGGTCTAGATAGGAAGAAATCTTAACACTAATAACTTGATTTTTCCAAATGTTTTGGATTAACAAGTCCCATAATTCATGGTCACTGGATTTATAGGAGCAATAGACCAAAAATGGGGAGCATGTGGATTTGCTGTTAATTATACTTTGGCTTGGCTTATCTTAAAATTATTGGGATATTGAGAACTATACTAGATCTTAACCTGGCTGAGAAGTTAGGAAAACATATATTTATAAAAAGCTATTTTTTTTCTGTAGTATACAGTAGGTGCTAATAGTTGAGAAGTCTTGGGTTATATAGAAAGTTGGAGATTTTTTAAAAAATAATATTTGTCAGGTCCATTTGTCAGCTACCCAACTACTGTACCAATAAACTGGTACAGATAAGCAGGAATAACACAAGACTCCCTAGTGTGGAGATGTTGCTTGAGTACATGCAGAAATGGAACTTCTGTTATTTACTCTGGAAATCTACCATGTTATCATTTAAGTGAACAACAAGAAAGCAAGATACAAATCCCAGATCACAAAAACTTTGCTGTGCTCCTGACAAAACATTGAATGGTAAGATAAAAATATTTGAAATTTAGTGGCAAGATCACTGAATAACAAACTAGACACTGGCGGGTATAGAAACAAAATTGATTAGCATTATATTTTTATGGACCTGGTATACAGAAGACTGAAAGAATCACATATATTGCTATAATCTGCTTTCCTTTCTTGCTGCTTTCAACATTCCTCAGCCATCCAAATGAGTCCAAGAGAATTCCTCAATTCTCCAGAGCAGATATTTTTTTTAGAAAGGAAAAAAAACATTCTTAGCAATCTAAGATATCCCATCCAGGATAAATACAGCCCATCCAGAATAAATAGCAATGATGCTCTACTACTAATGTGTAATTTCCTTTGCGAATGCTTTTTATTGTATTTGAAGAACCATAGTTAGCCAATATCTTTATTAGGAGCAACCAAAATAACAAGAGTTTTAAATTCCCAAACTGCATCAAGCCAGATAAACTTAAGAAAAAAACAAGAATAGAGGAATTGCTTTCTTACATTTTATGCAGTTTTTAAATTAGGATTGTTGAAACACAAAATTTTGAATTTTTGTTTAATAAGACCTTACAAAACTATCTTTAAAAATGCCAAGCAAAATATTGATCTAAGTTGTAATCCAACTTTGTAAACTTTGATTAACTGCTTTATTGAATAAACCACAATTACCTGGATTTATGTAATACATTATGCCAAAACCAAGCTAACAATGTTTAGTACTGAATTTTATCTCTAAATTTAAGCAGCCATAGAATTAAGAATATTCAGTTTGTGTTGTAAAAATGAATAATGACAATTCAGTAGAGTGCTATATCAGTGGTAAATGTATTTTAACTGTATTATAATGTTAAGTCTCACTGATGGGACTATTAAATGTGTATGGAATAGACAAAGATTGTTTTATGTATCAGATTAACAAACTAAGCAAGTTCCAGTAGGGGGCATTATAAGCTAAAGGTAATTAACATCAATTTATAATTTATGAACTAAAAAGAAGATACCATAAACTTTAATGCACACATATTAAATTCATGAGTGCCTAATTGCAATTTGAACTGATTATATGAAGCCTATAGTCAGAATTAAAATGTTATTCTATTAAGCAAAAGGAAAGATTTTTTCCCCCTGTGATTTAACCTGTTAAGAGTGGATGCATAGGCAGATGGAAAAAATGCATAAGAATGTATCATGGCACTAAATACTAAAAACAACAGTAATAGGAAAGATAAATTAGAAAATGATGGGCAATTTTCTGGAATAATTGACAATTTTTGAAAGTATGCTGTGGACATTCTCCCAAATTTTACCTCAGCTAACAATCACAAAACACGCTAAGACAAATTAGTGAATGTGCTTCCTCTATCTTCCTGGAATCCTCCTACTACCCAGTTTAGCTTTGTCTTTTTTTCAAACTAGATGGACTTCTGACTTCTTCCTCCTCTAGGTCTATATGTTGTCCTTTTAGCTGGGGCTTTTCAGCATTTCCATTTTTTAAATTAAAATGTGTATCAACAAAGCAGGTACAAATGGGCATTAGTGAGAATAACTACAGTCAAGATTAGTACCCATGGAATTGCATTATCTTCCTGGATTAGGTTAAATCTCCAACAGGAGTATTAGTAAGAATCATTTAAAGAACTTGAATTTCAGGAAAAAATTCAGCCCTGGATTCTGGGATAGTGGATGCATCTAAAGTGGCTTTACAACAGCTATTCTTGTTTCCATATTTTGGTAGCTGCAATAAGATTGAATTGTGCAGTGCCCAGAAATTGCCTTGAAAGCTTATTTTATTCAAAATAACCAGGAAGGTTGATAAGTAGACTAGTGTATCAATAGCCAAGTCTCTTTCCTTGCCTTAAAAATTGTCTGTGTCTCTCAGAAATATATTATTATTAAAGCTCTCCTGGGCCAGCTTTTTATTATAGTACTTTGTGGCTTAGAAGCTGCATAATTTTAAAACTGAGATAGACTCTTGTTTTCATCTGTTGAAGGATAACCTCCACTAAAGCCAACTGAGTATTTTTGAATGAACTGTCATATTGAGTGACAAAGAGCTACCTGATTCAAACTACTTGTCCCCACACATCTATATTCTGCCAACACACAGTCCTTAGGAAGTTACTGTATGGAATATTTCTTTTAATTTGCCATACTTTAGTTTTTCTTGTAGGAAAATGGTGCATTTCTTACTTTGAAAACATCTGGAAAATTCACAACTCACTGCAAAGAGATTTCTTTAGTGCTTAATTTGCATAGCAAGTACAAAGATAGCCTAGAAACCAGATCTCCATTGTTCCTACTGCTTGGCTGTGACTTCAGATTAGTACAAATATACAACAGTAACACAACAGGAGGTGGCACTCTGTACTCAAGAGGTAGTCAGTATTGTCTCCAACCAAAAGCCAAATATATTAACTTGGGGACAAGTAGTTCAAATCAGAGGATACAGGCAGTGATATGGCTCTTTGCTGCTCAATTATATAACAGTTTATAAAAAAATAAATTGAGTTGTCTTTAATACATTTAGACTGCAGTGATTATCCCACAACTGTAAGTAACATCCTACAAAGTTGAATATTGACTTTCTGAGTAAAATGCATAAAACTGCACTGTTTGTTATTCTAAGTTTTCTTGTACAGCCAGTAAGTTAAAAAAAACAACAACCTTTACAGGTCAACCAATTAAATTAATTTTCAACTATGTCTGATTTCATTATTTTATATATAAAATTAGACATTTTATGCTTCAGAACTACATTTGCTTTTTAATACCATGTCCCAGTCAGAAATATCTTTTTGGAGCCCTTCACAATGAAATTTGGAACTAGTGTTTTTTATCATTTAAAGTGTGTGTTTTAAATGATAAAAAGTGCTGGTCCCAAAACATCCCTTCATTGCTTACATTTCCATTATTTAGATGTATTCATTACAAGATCTGTTTATTCCTGTTTTCTTTTTTTTTATCCAGTTTTAATCAAAAGAGAACCGCTTCTTATTCCATAACTGCTAAGCTTGCTCAAGGATATTTGGTGATTTTATCAAAAGCCTTTTGAAAGTGCAAGCAAATAAAATTAGATTTCATAGAATTAAAAAGGGCTCCTTAGAACTATCATGCAACTGAGTTCAATATATATTGCCTCCAAGTAAAAGAATGTTTAACATTGAAACCTAATGCAATTTTATACTAGAATAAGACCCACTGAGCTCAGTGGGGCTTATGCTTGAGTAAATATGCAAAGGATTGTGTAGACAGGACAAAGAGGTAATGTTAGATGAAATTATGAGCCAAATTGACACACTAAAAATAAATAGAACCTCAAGTCCAAACAATATCACACAGAAATTTTTGAAGAATTTTAATATGAAGTTGTTGATCTTTTTTCAAGTATACAGAACTTCTAGAGAACTGGAAAATAGCCAGTGTGACTGGAAGTGGCTCAAGGGGGGGCAATAAAGGTATTAGGCCAGTTTTATTATCGTTTATTGAAAGTGCTATTAAAAAGAAAATAAGCAAATACAAGAAAGAGTGAGACTTGATGAAAAGAAACAAAAATAGTTTCTATAAAGTTAAATCTTTTTTTATAGATATATTTGAGGGTGTTAACAAACATGTTGGCAATACTGACCCAACAGTAATTTTTTTTTGGGGGGGGGGGGAAAGTACCCAAGCAAATTTAATTGCCTTGAAGTAAGAGGAAGGAGCAATCATTGACAAATGGTGAAGAACAGGAACCAAAGTGAGAATAAATGGCCAATTTTCACACTGATGAGATGTGTAAATTGGAATCCTCCAGGGAAGGTTGTTGTAACTGGTGTTGTTTATTTGCATGTGTGATTTTATGGAGAATTTGGGGAAGAGGGGAGAATGTCTGTTAAGGCCAAATATCTTTGAATCCCAAAAAATATAACTCACCACTTGCCTCCAATTTACATCTCTTACATAATGTAGATAATGTAAAATGATGCAAATGGTGTTAATTTATTATTCAGAATGTGTTAGACACCAGACTTTAATCTGGTAAAGTCTGAACTAAAATGAGCAATGTTAGTGTCTGTGGTCTAGACAATAGATGTGTGAACTAAAATATCTATTGCAACCAAAGTCTTCTAATTAGTAGTCTGTAAAACTGAGACAGGAGATCAAATCAGTCAATCCTAAAAGAAATCAACCATGACTGTTCTTTGGAAGGACAGATACTGGAGTTGAAGTTCAAATACTTTGGCCACCATATGAGAAGAGAGGACTCATTGGAAAAGACCCTGATGTTGGGAAAGATGGAAGGCAAAAGGAGGTTAGATAGTGTCATTGAAGCAACGAATATGGATTTGGGCAGACTGGGAGACAGTGGAGGGAGAGAGGAGCTCGGTGTGCTGTGGCCATGCAGTCGTGAGGAGTCAGACACAACTTAGCTATATATAGCTACATAACAGTGATGGCGAACCTTTTAGAGACCGAGTGCCCAAACTGCAACCCAAAACCTACTTATTTATTGTCAGGTGCCAGGTGGGAGTGGCCCACTGGGTGATCATGGCTGTGGTCATGGCAGACTGGGTGGGTTGGCCAATGTGGGCTGGTCACCTTAATGTTGCTCGTGGGGAAGGATGCCTGTTGGGGCCGGGCAGGGTTGGGGGAGATCCAGGGGGTCTCTGGCAGGTGGGGTGGTGGGCAGGAAACTCATCCTGTGAGGTGAGGCAAGGCGAGGTAGGGTGGGGGTGCCATTGTCGCAGGGCAAGGTGAGGCCAGGGCAGCTGCTGCCTGACACCGTCGGCCCCCGCACACACAGCCCAGCAAGCGCATGGGGGCCGACAGTGTGCGTCAGCAGCCACAGGCTGCCGGTCCCTCAACCAGCGCATTCTGGGGTTCCACAGCCCACCGCCAGCAGTTCAGAGAAGCTGCCTCTCAGCTGGATGGCCGTCCGACAGCTGAGGAGGCAATGCAGTGGATCTGGGTCATGCCCAGGAAAAGGAGAACATGCAAGGCCAGGAGGGATGGGATAGGGGAGGGAGGAAAACCAGCCATGCTGGGATGCATCCAGCCACATGGGATCTTGGCGAGTTAGCGGGCGGCTGGTTGAAGAGGGACGGTTGCCATCTCCGGGGCATGGTGCGCGGCCCACAGAGAGGGCTCTGTGTGCCACCTCTAGGACGCATGCCATAGGTTTGCCACCACTGCTATATAACTAACTAAAATTGGGGCTGAGCAGCTATAGCTTTGTTAGCTGCTGAAATCAAACTATTCAGTGTGGTAACATCAAAAATGGACTGCAAAAATCTCCCAAAGCCTCCAATCCTGAGTGAAATGTGTTTATAAACCATCCTTAATGCCTCTGAGAGAGATGGTTTCTAAAAAAAGATAGATAAATACGAGAGAGAGAGAGAGAGAGAGAGAGAGAGAGAGAGAGAATTCAGTATGAACAAGTGTGAAGTGATATATTTGACATAAAAAATCCAAATGTCACCAATACATTAATGTATTCTTAGTAGTAACACCAGGAAAGAGATCTTTCAGTCACAGTGGGCAGCTTGATGAAAATGTAACTTTGTACAGCTGCCACAATAAAGGGAAATTCAATTATTGGAAACTTGGAAATTATTTTACCACTCAGACCACTGATCATTACACTTTGAAAGGGATTATTTTAGAGTTAGGAAAGGTGCAAAAAAGGACAATCAAAATTATTAGGGGCTAGACAAACTTTTGCAAAGAAAGGCTTCAGTGCAGCAATTAATCTTTACCTTAGAACAAAAGGAAACAAATACACGGAGTGCATCAAATCAGGCAGTTTAGATAATGAGGTTTTCTCTCATCACCTTAGAATTCAAAATCCTCCGTTGAAATTGAACACAGATTCAGAATTGAATGAAATATATATATATATTAAATGGGACTCAGTTAAACTAGAATTTGCAAATGACATTGTGGAAGATCATACAGGATCAGGTTATCAATGGCTATGAATACTGATTGTCTGCTGTGTCCTGAATTATAGGCAACCCTAGGCAGTGGAAGAGAGCTCTCAGCCTCCAGTCTAGGTTTAAAAAGCTTCCCAATTCAATCAACCTGACCCATTGTGTGAGATAGAATGCTGGACTCTTCTTACAATTCCATCACAATAACACGGTTTCTTTAATGTGTAAGTTATATGTTGAGGGTTATAAATTGTATCTGGTGTCTTTCTTTGGGGTGGAATGGAGCCATTGGAAAATTAAAGACCACAGACCCTAGTATAATATATAAGTAGAAAAGTATCGGGAGATACAACTTCATATGGATTCCAGATAACTTGTTGGATGGATAGTTCATTTTTGGACTAATTATCCCTTCCATCTCCTACAAAGCAAAGCCAACTCCGAAGTGAACCCCACTTAAGTTCAGTGGAACATATCGCATGCCACCGAGAATGGGAATAGCACCGAGGGATGCCACATTTACACGCACGCCCCAATCTTTCCATGCCATCTGTTAAGACTTGACATGGCTCTACTAATCAACCTCCATCCACTACTCGGGAAGAGGGTTTGAAGCGCAGCCGCTGCCCGCCCTCAGGAGAAACCGATGGGATGACTGAGGAGCCCCCCACCGCAACCAGCGGAGAAGAATCGTCCCTTCCGGGCGGGCAGCAGGGAGAAAGGAGGAGAAGGTGTCCCATTCGCAGCCTCCGGCCCTCTCTCCGTTCCTGAGCTGGGGGGCTCGGCGCACCTCTGGCCCGCGCTGGGAGGAGACTGCGAAGGCGCGGGGGGCGGCTGTCCGTTTCGGAATCCCCCGGGGAGGGAGAGCCTCGAGTGGTGGACGCCGCCCCCGCCTCCCCAGTGCCAGAGGGCTGAGGGGGGGGGAAGAGAGAGACAGGCAGGCACCCACCTACCCTCCTCCCTGCCCCCGCCCCGCGCAGCTGGAGGGCCATGCTAGGGAAGAGGCCACGCTTCCCAAACTTCCTGCCCCGCTCGCTCGGCCAACGGGTGCCAAGAGCTGCTGCCGCGCCCGCCGCCGAACGAGCGCTCAGTCAGCCAGGGGACCGCAGGAACCGCCGCTCCCTGCGGAGGAGAACCTGAGCGCTCGCCGCCTCGACCGGCCTCACCGCACGCGCGCGCGCGCGAGATGAGCGGCCCTCGAGGGAAGGCGCCCGAGGCTGCGCCCCAAAGCGGCGGCCGCTGCGCCTGGGGGGCCGTCGGCAGGGGCCCCGTTATCCTCTCGCTGCTCTTCTCGCTCCTCTCGGTGGGTGCCTGCTTTCTCCTCAGCGCCAAGACTTCCAAGCTGCAGGGGCGACTGGTGGCGCTGGAAGAAGAGTTGGCCAGCCGCGCCTGGAGCCCCGGAGAGCAGCTGGCCGCCGAGCCTTTGCTCGCCGCGCTGCAGCCTCAGGTGGACGACCTTCTCCGGGAGGTAAGGGCTGAGAAGGGCGGGGTGGAGGCGAAGGGGACAAGGGCGGGGCCGAAGGCTGCCTTATTCGCTCGCTTCTCTCAAGTAAAACTTTCGAAGAAGAATCCGGCTTTTCCTCACCGGGTTTAGGAAGGGGCTGCAAATGAGAGGCGGGAAGGCAGGCGGGCTGGCGTTTGGATCAGGCTCTGGGCTGCGGACGTCTTTTGACTGACAGCGCGGGGCTCGATCCGAGAATGCAGGAAGAACCCCGTCGCACCTCACTCTTAATCCATGGCTGAGGGGGCATCTGAAGGCGCCGCCGCTTGCGTTCTGCTGAAGCGGCGGGACTCTGCATAGCTGTTGGTCTTCAAAGTGCCTCCCAGGGCATCGGGTGTCGTTTCTGTGTAACTGGCCGAGGCAGCTACTCGGTACTGGAAGCAGGCGGAGGGGACCCTGCTCTCTGGCGTCTCCAAATGAGAACACTTGTGGGCTGTTTTGCATTGTGGAACTCCACGCTTAACCTTTTAACCTACATTTCCTCAAAGAACTTGGGACCTGGTGAAAACCCTATCCTCAACACCTGCTCATGTTGTTGTCACAACACTCCCGGCTAAGCTAGAATGAGATAATCCATTGCTTAATATATTGTGAGAACCACAGCGGTTTAATTGATTTAGTAAACCATTAGCATGTTGCGTGACTCACCTTAGAGCATCCTCTGAATTAAATGATTGAGCAGGGAATTCAGGTCTGGTTTTAACCCAGCTGTTATCTGCCAGGATGCACTGTTTTAATTGCTAGATTGCAAGCTCTATGCTATATAAGTGAAGACATCTTCTAGTTGAGGTTAACTCTAAGTGACTGCATTCATGCGGTCTCTGGTACCATTTTGGAGATAAGTTGCCTTTGCTTTTCCTGGGATCATTTTTGTTTTTTGTTTTATTTCATATTTTAATCAACATCCTTGGATGAATGTAATATATATATATATATTATATATATATATATTGAACACATACAGAATTTTCCTTCACTATAGTTCCAAAAGTAATTTGAGGATGTCAAGGTCACACCTCTTTTAAACTAAAACTCACAAAACTGTAAAGGTATAATTAACGTTGTATACTTTTGTAAATATACATTTGTGAAATCTGGATTTCTAGATTACTTCATTACCTTGTGTTTTTAAATTCTGTGACAGCAGTGCTCAAAACAGTCTTCAACGTAGTGATCAGTTGACTTTCCAGAATGTCAAGTTGGCATTGCAATTCAAGACATACCTGGAGGGTTTTAGATTAGGAAGAGGTGGTTTGTTATAAATGGATGAAACATTTCCAACTTACTGTTAATTATATTGTGTAGAGTTGGGAAAAGCTCCAGTAATAACCTTTCTTAAAATCAAAAGTACTTTAAGAATATTTCCCAGGAAAGAGAGAGCCTCCTAGTAAGTGTAAATTGAAGCTGATTTAATTTATGAATCATGTTAAGTATGGTTGCAAAGATGTGCAAATCATGGACCATATCTTGTAGATTGGCTGTCAAATAATATACAGACTTGACTGGCACTGTGTTCATACAAATCTTAGTCCCAGTTTAATTATCTGTTATAGTTAAGACATTCCCCTTTCTATCATTGAACTGGACTGATGTGGAATAAAACATGGTGTGACTGGATAAAAGTCCAGTAGAAACTCCTTTGGTTTGTAGCATAGGTGACAAAATTAGAAAAAATCATCTAGAAAAATGCAGTGGCAAACCACTTTTTTATAGTTGCCAAGAAAACTACATGGACATGTCTATACAGTCACCAGGAGTTAAGCTTGACAAGAGGGAAGCCAAGGGGACTTTCTTAAGTACCCAGTTGTTTGTTCTGTGCCTTAACAAAATGTTAGGTACCATTGACAACTTCATTCTGCTTCTTCATAGGATAATTGCTGATGTGAAGTGAGAACAGAAGCTTGTGACACTGTAAAAACAAAGATATTTGTTATACATTTGAAAAGAGAACTGACATTGCATGCTATAGTAAGGGATTAAGATTTCAGTCTTGATTTTTTTTCTGCAATAAACCAGGATGGCTACTGTTCTAAAATATGAGGTAAAATTCATACCTGGAATTATTCAGAATAGTAGTCCTTCTCAGTGGTAGCCCCCTTTTCTCTGGAATTATTTTTTTCCAGAGGTATGTGAAGCTTCTGCTTTGCTAACATCTCAAAAATCGGTTCTATATACTTTATTGCAATGAACCTTTGATCCCAGCTGATTGATTGATTAAGAGTGTTTGGTTAAGGTTTTGCACTGGATCACATTTCTATGTTTTTCCTTTATTTCTGTTTCTAGATTTTTGTTTGTTTTGATGATTTAGCACCTGGAGTCTTTCAGGATTCAGGCAAATTACAAATATTGATAGATAGGTAAATAAAGTTTATCTAACAGGCTTATAGTGTTTGGGGCTTTTTGCTCATGAGATTTTACAGTTTGCAGCCAACTTCTGGAGAAGCATTAGAAAGGCTAAGAATCTCTTTCATGGTATGTTTTCTAATCCTATGCAAATTATCCATAGTTTGCTTTCTTTAAAAGACCAGAAGTGTGTGGGATGTAGATACATGATGCAAAATCCATGCCAAAAGAAGAAAACAATTTATGGTGTTTCTCAGTCTATAGTTATATCTCCAAGACTGGAAAATTGGCATGAAATTGCTTAACATTTAAACAAAACCAGGACAGAATCTGACAGCAACATCTATATGCTGTCTAACTCCACTTAATGTTGGTTGTGAATAGCCAAGAAAAGAATAACAGGGAGCTTAAATTTGATTTTAAAAACAAAATTTCCGCAGAACTACAAAATTAATTATAAACAAAACATAGATACTGTAGTTCCAAAGGATATGAATAAATATACCCTTTGATTCTTAAGTTTGCTGTGTTACTGATAGAGCATTCAAATAAGGTAATTGTTCAATTAGTCTCAGATACAGTTCTTCATGACCTCTTTAACTGTCACAGGATAACTTATAAGATATCCCGGAATACACTCTCCAGCTATAAATAGCACTTTCCTTCCAGTGTTTTGAATCTTGTAGCCAGTCTATACAATATGATTAGTTCAGTCCAACTTTACTGGCTTGCAATTTAGAAATAGAGGAACACAAGCCAACAGAAACAGAAAAATACTACTGTAATGTAATAGTATAATTGCAACTTAATGAAGTGATATTGCAATGAAAAATCCCTTCTTGAAATAGTTGTTTTGAAAAAAAGGAAATTCTAATACAACAGTGGATGCTACACAAATACTCAAAGAAAGATGGTAGATTTATTTTTCTCATTTAGTTGGAAATTGCAAACCTATCCAGATATAATTTGGATTTCATTTTTGTTTATGATTGAGAATAGTTTCTTAGTCACTGAACTTTTAAAAATCTGGATTGGTTTGGACATACAGTAATGCTAAATCAATGAACCATTGGTATAAATCTTATATTTATTAGGTTTCCTGCTGTGTTTATTTTCTTTTTCTGAATGACTACAGGATTGGAATGCTTTGACGTTTCTATTTTTTTTAAAACTGGCATACAAAGAAGAATATGGGGATTATTGCATTTATTCATCAGAGAATCAAGTTTTAGTTAATGAAGGTCTGAAACCAAAAAGGACACATACGGAGAGTTTAAAAAAGGCTAAAAATAGACAAAATTCATAATTGTTAAGATGGTGTCAGGTAGGCTAAAACTCAGAATAAGTTGAAGTTGGTGAATGATGATAAACAACAAAAGGTTCTTCAGATACATTCAAAATAAAAGAGAAAAGATTTATACCAGTTGCTCAGTGAAAATGGCAACATGCTAGCACACAATGTAATACAAAGGTGAAACTACTCAATTCCTATTCTGATTCAGGTTTTCTCAACAAGAACACATTTATTGTACCAGGCAGAATGAAGGGGTGGGACTGAAGCTTGAGACTGAGAGAGAGAGAGATGGTCAGGACATATCAGTTTATTCTGAAGGAGTTTAAATCTCCAGAGCTGCATGATTTACATCCTACAAGACTATGGATATTCTCAGTCATCCAGGTCATAGTTGTCCCAAAGATGCTCTTTCACGGGGCAACTGGACTTTGTTTTCTTTTTTCGCTTCTCATCCAAGAAGCTTCTTCAGCTCTGCCTGGATGGTGGGGAATGGAAGGATTTAAACTCCTTGCAGACAGCTAGTCAAATCCTTCCATTCCATACCATCCAGTCAGAGCTGAAGAAGCTTCTTGGATGAGAAGTGAAACGTCTTCAAAGAAAAACAAGAAAGTCCAGTTGCCTTGTGAAAAAGCATCTTTGGGACATTTACATCCTACCATACTATAGGAACATTGTACTATAGAATTCCAGACACAGGAATGGTCTGGCTGAATTTTTATGTATTAGTTTTAAGAAATCCCAGCAAATAGCCAAAATGGTTCTCAATTTTAGCAGCTTGAAATGATGTGGACTTCAACTTCTAGAATTTCCCATCCATCATGGTGGCTGAGGAATCCTGGGAGTTGAAATCCACATATCTTCAAGTTGCCATGGTTGAGAAATACCGTGATAGACAATAAAAAGAAGGCAATGTCACAGGAAATCATGACTTCAAAAATGGGAAAAGGAGGATTCAGGAAACTATTACCAACCCTTCAAGTTAGTCAGATCAGGAAACAGACTAATGGTGACTGGAGCTCTATTAATATAGACTATAGTAACAGAATCTTGAAAGCCTGCCTACGTTTTCCCTAAAACTTTGTTTTCCGGTCCTAAAATATGCTTACCACATAGATTCTCCAAGGTCATTTCTATGGCCCTCTACAACTTGAAACAATTAGTTTTATATCAATACCTGGGAAGATTTGAGAACAGATGATAAAACAATCATTCTGCAGATACCTTGATAATAATGCGGTGATTATCAAAAGCCAGTATGGATTAGTCAAGAATACGTCTTGTGCAGCTGACATTTCTTTTAGACTTATAACATTCAAGATTGGATTGCACATGGACATAAAGGATCTTGATTTCAATAAGCATTTGATAAAGTGCTCAAGAACATTCTGGATTGGGAAACTATGTGGGCTGAATAGCATGCCAATTAAGGGGAAAAATAGCTATCTTTAAAAACTTCCATCAGAAGAAAGGACCTATTTCCATCATCCCCAAAGAATGACACAGAAGAATGATCTTGGGTTAGAGGAGGAAAGCAACTTGACTGTGGAGAGCTAATTATCAAGGGAGGTGGTGCTCATATTCACCGAATATATTCAAGGACAAGCTGGATAACCTGTTGACTGGATTATTATGAATTCCTAACCTGAGTAAAGTATTGGGTTTTAAAAGGAAGTTCATAGTGCTATAGACTGTAAGGCTGAAAGAAACTTTGGGTATTTAATTCCATCTTCCCGTTCAGTGTAGGAATCACCTCTCCAGTTCTGATACATGGCCTTCTTCCTCCAGAGAAAGAAAACCTGTATCATGACAAAACAGGTTCAAACACCTAAAATCAAGTTTCATGCCTTCCTGCATGTTTATCTTCTCCAAGCTAAACTATCCAACTGTTCTTGTGTAATGTTCATCCTTGACTCCTTATCATCTTTGTTGCTTTCCTCTAGGCATACTCCAGTTTTTCCACATTCGTAAAATATGATGCTCAAAACTGAATGCATCAATGCTGAATAGATACAGTGATTATCATTAACATTACTGTAATCCTACTGTTGATGCAGTCTAGGAGTGCATATTTTTTCTTCTGCAGATATATAATAACAGTTGGCTTATATTTTATGATCTAGTAAGATACAGATTCTTTTTGAATATGATATTTCCCCTACACCTTATATTTATATAGGCTTTTTTCTACCCAAATATAAGACTTCACATTTGTTTCTATTGAAAATCATATTGCTGCTATCTTATCATCATCAACATCATCATCATCTTTTTTCTCTATCTTACCATTTGCTTCTAGCCTAATTCTTATATAGAGACCTTGGAATACTCTTTGTATTTATTGGAATTTTTGACTCATGTAATTTGATCTCTATCTTCTTGCGAAAGTTCTATGCTCACTTATGTGATGGATCTTTTTATAACACATGGTGTGATTAACACATGGAGATGTCTTTTTAGCCTATAATATATAGTTTGAAAAACAAATTTCATATATTTACAATGTAGCACAGGTTCCTTGTAGATGACATTTTATCAGATTTGAGACCCTCAACAAGCCTTTTCTGACAGACCACGCCAAAGAAGAATATTCATCTCAGAGAAGGCAATCTTCAACCCTTAAAGCCTTAAACCAGAGGTGTCAAACTGCCAGCCAACAGGCCGGTTTCATTATGCAGAAGCTGCGCCCACCCCAGCTACGGCAATGCAAAAAAAGTTGCGATACATCGTGACACGGCGAGTTTGACACCTATGCCTTAAACTGCATGGGTTTAAAGGTGATAACCTGCACTTTGAACTGCATTTGGAGCTACCTGGCAATCATTGCTGCATCTGGCAGTAGTGATGTCACATAGATGTCATATAGGTGAACCTTAGTACTCCTGTAACTATTCAGGCCAGTTACTGAATCAAATATAGTGAATGACCAATCTTCAAGGGCAGCCCCATGAGGTCTACTTGTGAAGTACAAAGGTATGCATTAAGCTCTCTCTTCCCAAAAAATGACTGCAGCTCGCATATAAGATGCAATTGTTCAAAAGACCTTCCACCTGCTGTTTAAGCAGGAAGTCTGGGTGATTTGTATTATTTGACTAGTGTAAAGACAAAGTGATTGTCTCTAAATTTATCTCATTCAATGAAGGACTGAGTAAAGTTTGAGAAATGTGCAGCTCTTTTTGCAAAAAACATGTTAATGTCTATTTTCTATATTATCAGGCTGTTATTTTTAGCTGTCATAGGTCAGTGCCAAAGAAGAGAATAGATGTCATTGCAGAGACATCAGCGATGGCATGCCAGTGAAAGATGAGAGCTCCAAAGGACGGCATCAGAGTGTGATACCTCGTTCTTGTATTGCACAAAGTGTCCCAAGAGCACGTCTCTAGGTGACATTCCTCAGTTAGAAAGCTCTCAAATGAATTTGCCTTGGAAAATGCTTAGGGGCAAGAACAACTTGTTATTTTTTTTTAAGTGCTGTTTGTTGTGTTTTTCTCTTCTTTGACTTCTCAGCCTTAGTCCTAAACGGAAAAAAATGGTAACTTTATTGTATATTAGAGAAGATGCTTCTGGATGCAGGAGAGGAACATATACGAAGCTCCACTTTTCAAATACAATAGTTAAAGCAGCTGTATCTTTTTCCAAGCCTGCACAAGTACTGTGGGTGCCGTTTCCAGACGTTCCTGCATGTTCTGCATGCAAAGTCACTTTTCTTTGCTGGGAAAAAGGCAGGGAGGTGACTGACTGTGCATATAGGCAGAAACAGCTTGAATCCACAACCCAAAAGAAGTGTTCCCTTGTCTTCAGGAGCACCTTTTGGAAGGATTTGCCCAGTTCTAAAGTACATTGTATAAATTGGATTCCCTACCAATCCACTGGAGCAACTTCATCAATCCATAATGCATGTGTCGGCATATTTCAGAGCTGCATTAAATATATAAGTAGAGCTTCCTTTTGTAATTTTCTAAATCTTCTAGCCTAACTGCTTCATTCTAGAGAGCTGAGCCACCATTATAATGGATGAATAATGTCTCATCTAGTTTTCAATAGTATCATAGGGATATGATATTTATTTTTACAATGACTTTGCTTCTTCAAATACGCCCAGAATCTTCGTTCTAAAACTGGAAATGAAGTTTTCGGGGGGTTGTAGTACAAGCTAGAAAAGCTGCATTGGTATTCCTACCACAATAGGAATATGTTCTTTTGGTAATTCATTAGAAAATGGGAGGAAGAGATTGAGTAATTTGTCCCAACTCCTTTCCTGTGCCTGAATAGACATGAGGTAGTGCACCAGGAAGTTATAAATTAACTTTCATGAGCTGCTGAAATGTCAATAATTGCATAATTTCAATTTGGCATGAATATTTCTAGTTTTCAGCGTCTCTCCCCTTCTCTTATTTGTTTTATTTGGTTTGATGCTTACTTCTCATCTACAATGCTACATAGATCCTCAAAAGTGAATAGAAACAAGTATTCTAAATTCAACTGTGCAGCTTTGTTTTCTAGCTTCTTCCTTTTTTAAAAGTGAAAACTGCATAATCCTATCTACAAACAGACAATCCTCTATAAAGGTAACTCCTTTAGTTTAAAAAATGCATACCATTTTTGTGCATTTATTTATTTATTTATGAGACTTATATACCGCTTTAAGTGCAAGCACTCTCTAAGCGGTGTACACCAGTAAGCAATGTATATATATATTTACATTGCCCCCAACAATCTGGGTCCTCATTTTACCTACCCCGGAAGGATGGAAGGCTGCGTCAACCTTGAGCCGGTGAGATTTGAACCGCTGACCTGCTGAACACAGTCAGCTAAAGTGGCCTGCAGTACTGCACCCTAACTGCTGCGCCACCTCGGTATATGGTATGCATATATAGATACCATTGCTTTATTTGGGTCTCGGTCAATGATTTTACAGAGTCTCTAGGGGAAAAAGTGTGATGAATGGTTAAGAATAGATTTCTTCAACTATTACTAAGTAATTTTGCATATTAAATATAAAACAATTGAAAGGAACAAAAAGAGAGAGTGCTGGTTCGTGTAGTTTATTTGGCTTGAAGTATTCCATTATTTTAATATTAACTAAATACTGTTGTGATCCAATCAAAGCAGAGCAAGTCTTGGAATTTCCAGTGGAAGAGATCTAAACATTTCCTTAATTTTCTCATTGAAATTTATGAGACTTGGCTTCAGTATGGCTAGGATTTGTATGTTTAGCATTAGCATGGATCACATTTGTTGGCCATTAGCTTTGATTTATTTTTACATTTGCTTTCTTGACAGAAATTGAACGAAGGATTAGCCAAATTACGTACAGCAAGAGAAGTACCCTCTGAATGTCATTGCCCACCAGGTAGGTGGATAAGAAATAGAATTTTTTAAAGTAGATATATTATGTTATTAAGTGAATGTGAGAAATAAATAGCTATCATAGCATTGCTTGAAAGATGGGGGAGATCCTAATTTAAATATATTTACAAGTAGTTTTTGTTGTATGGGCAGGAGTTTTCTGTTTGATTTTGTTTTTAATTCTGCAGGTGCAAAAGTGAATAGTCAATACAATTAAATTGATTGGTTTCTAGTTTTGAAGTATCTGAGTGTTTTCATAACAAAATAAATTATTCCTTGTTAGAACAAATCTTTCTTAATTTTTTACCCCAAAGCACCCTTTGCTGGATGAGTAAGTACCTTCAGTATGCATGGTTGTTTAAAAACCTTTATCTGTAAATTTATTCCAAAGATAATTTATCAGATGAAACATTAAAGAATTTTGTTAGCTTTTGTTCAACTGCTTTGGGTAAAATTTAGTAAGATCCGGTTAATAAATGTCTAATGATTTCAGTATGAGCAAAATATGCAAGTATTTGCTTGTTTCTTTCTATATACAGTATATTGCTGATCACATTTGAAACAAAACGGAACACGGCATCTTGTATTTGAAAAGTCACATGAATGGGGTCATTTTTGTAAAGGTTGAGGTGAAGTGTTTCCAAATGGACATTTTTGTTTTGCACAGAAACCAAAGTCATCGTACATATACTTGGATCTGATATTATTTTCTAATGAAAACCTTGTGGGGCCCAGTGTTTAGAAGCAATCAAAAGACTGTAAACTGAAATTCTGCTAACATTAGTACATGTAAACTTTGCAGGTTGTTTTTGAAATCCTGAAAAAGATAACATTATTTTACCCTCTTTTTATCTTTAAATTATGTATAATAGTTTTGTTAGATTTCTAATTGTTTTTAAACATAATATAATTGTAGTTCTTTTACTGTAGTAACTACTAGCAAATAAATTGATAGTAGTCTTTAAACTTATCTTGACTGATCTTTTCCAAGCAGGTTACTATAGATTTATTGATACATTAACCTAAAATTATTTCTAGTATGTCAAAATATAAGTTAATGAAAACAGGGAAGCCTGCCTAATTTTTAAGTGTGTGTTTTGGTTCTTGGAGCAAAGACAATAGTTTGAAGATTTTTATTAGGTTTAAGTCAATGCTCTTTCTGACTTGGGTAGAGCCATCTTGTGCTTCCCAAATTCAGAGGCAAAATCCAGACTTTTGCCAGAATGTTTTTTTTGTTGTTGTTGTTCTCGGCAAGTGAAAAATGTGTATGTTAAGCTTTCTTGAGGTTTAGCCAATCTATTTTTTTCATGTTAATGTTGGCCTTGTTTCATAGGTTATTTCACAGCATTGCCAGCTGCATCTTCAGAACCCCAATATAAAATAAATAAATGAAGTGAAACTCCCCGTAGGAAAAAACTTGTACACTTTATTGTAGGCTTGAGATTTTGATGATTTTTCATGATTTCTATTCTTAAAAAATAAAATACAGATAGTCTTTGACTTACAACAGTTCATTTAATGACTGTTTGAAGTTACAACTGCACTGAAAAAAATGACTTATGACCATTTTTCACACTTATGACTGTTGCAGAATTCCCATGGCCACATGATCAACATTTGGATGCTTGGCAACTGACTCATATTTATGATGGTTGCCATGTCCCAGCGTCATGTAATCACCTTTTGTGATCTTCTGACAAGCAAAATCAGTGGGGCAGCTAGATTAACTTAACAACAGAGTTATTAACTTAATAGCTGCAGTGATTCAATTAACAATTGTCACATGAAAAGTCATAAAATGGAGCAAACCTCACTTAACAAATGTTTCATTTAGCCACATACATTTTGGGCTCAATTGGGCTCAATTTTGTAAGTCGAGGACTACCTGTATACTGTAACTATGATTCTTGATTATGAAGTCACTGAAATATAGTTAACATTTATAGTCAGTCGATGCCAGTGTCTGAAGTCCCCAATGTTTTGGAGTTATGAATGCATATTGAATTTGGGAAACTTTCAAAATTGCCACTAGGTAGATTTTTCTGTGGACTAAGTGGCTATGATAAGAAACACAATATAACACTTTTTTGCCAAGCAAAGGTGGACATAACATTTAAGCAAAGCATCAAATTTATCATTATTTTTTTTTAAAAAAAAATGAGCTCTAGATACATTAACGAAAGCGAGACAAAGTGGTACTTTTACTTTACTGTAATTTTTAAAAGAGGAAGTTGGCATGCTGCAGATTTTTTAAAATGCAAAAAATCCTGGCCCCAAAGTTATGCCTTTAAGCATATCAACATTATGTGGCACCAGCTGAAAATTAACAGGTTGCCCAATGAGAACTTTCCCTTTGCAAATCAAATCCTCTTTCTTGCTTACCTTTCATGGTCCAACTCTGCGTCTCCACCTGTCTTCTGTATGGCAGTTTTGAGAGAAATGTTATAGTATGGTTTAATATTTTGCTTTCTTCTCTCCTGATTCTTTCATTCTCCATTGCCATTTGTTTTATTTGCCTTATTTATTTCTCCATTTATTCTCTATTGTGCTCAGAATCAAACTCAATCAGAAATTGGGATGTCTGTGATGAAGATCTCTTCATATCAAATTCAAGTATTGCTGCATAGGGAAAGGTTTGGATCAGAACTGTGGTTCTGGGATAGGAAAGGTTTTTCCCTACCATATTTTCCCAGTCCAAGTTCCTACAGTGAAAAGCATGAAGTACTTTATAATACTAAATGGGCTGTTGGAGAGCAATGTCAGAGCATGCAGAGTCTTATTGCACTAAGATAACCCAGGAATAAACACAGTAAACAGTGGTCTATATTAAATGGTGGTTTATCTTACAGTATCTGCTATATCATACACCAGGAACAATATACACACGTGCTAATACAGCAGGCTCCAACACACATCAGTTACAGCAGGAAAAACAAAAGAGAGAGAACACAGCAGCAGAGCCTTCCCTTTTATACAAAGGCTCTTAAAGGGACACAGACTCAGCTGGCTCTTAAAGGGATATAGACCCTGCTGAGTCATTCCCATCATTACACCATACATCTCACATTATACAAGCTGGTTAGCTATTAAATTATTACCTTGACAAGCAAGATTCAGGGAAAATATAGGACAGCCACTTTCAGCTGCATACTCCCATGGCCATACATATAGTCCTTGGGCTATAATAGTAATTGTAGGAGGAATGGCAGAGCCAGGGGGTGGAGTTAAAAGAGGGATCAGCCTAGAATCTCTATATAGCCACAAACAGATGAAGTCCAATTTCCCTTGAATTCCATTGCCCTTTACCTAACACCAAGCAGGTCTAACTATTACCTGAGAAGATTCCTGTACGGAGCTTTTTTAGCAATAAATCAGTTTAACTGAACCTTCACATATGGGCCTGGTTTTTTTCATCTGACAGTAATTGGAACTGGCCATCACTAAGCAATGCAGTCATAAACTCTGATGTCACATGAACACATTGCTTAGCAACAACTATCCCAGAAGTCCTGGTTACTAGCATAACCCAAGACACATGAGTTATTAAGTAGGAACTGGCAGGTGTCTCAACTAAGGATTGTAGTGTAACTTTTAACAAAGGCATTCTTGGAAGACTTTTGAAGCAGTCCTAGGCAGTATTATTATTATTTAAAAAAATACCTTTAGTTTCAAAAACACTTATTGCATAATGACTGTTGTTTAAAAAGGAAAGCTCAAAGGTCATTTGGACATGTGGAACTATCCATCTGGTTCTGAAATCCTGGTCAAGAAATGTATAACCACAATCTAATTGTTGTATAAATGTATTAGATTAAAATCTGTTGATAATGTATACATTATAAAGCTGTTTTTCTTCCCTAGTAAGTAAGCAATCATTATTGACCTCAGTAGGCAAGAATATGTGTAGCTCAAGACTGAACAATGCTTAGTGCTCTCTGAGCTTGATTGCTTGCTTGCAGACATTTTATTACCCAACTATGGTACGTAACACCATCAGTGTGACTCAGTGTGGAATTTATTCCATTTTTATATACAATAGTTGCCAATTTTGATAACAAAATGGTTGTGTATTAGTACTGGGAATGGCCTTGGGAGACAGGGGGAAGAGACATAGCCAAGGTGCAATGAGATAGAAGGCAACATGGCCCACAGCAGGAATGTGAGCAGAGCAAGTGGCTCAGAAGAGACCTTCCCTAGTTTCTTGGGATGTAAAAGGTAGGAGGTAGAAGTATTCTTTAAAGATTCTGTTAATGCAACCAGAATTAATTTACCTCACTATACTTTCTATCTGGTCTAGCTTACAAAGCTGACAGGTTTTCTCTTTGGTAGTTACTTGATTGGAGTGATGTTTTCTGCATGGTTGTTTATTGTTAATTCCTTATCAGAGAATTGGCTGCTGGAGACAATCTGTTCTAATCCTTTTATTTCCTTCTTAGCTTTTTTATTGTGTCTTTTGAATGCTTTGTAAATATGGCTTATCTCTGATTATTGATGGCTGATTTGTCTGAACACCAAGCTTCTAGAATTTTGGATTTGGCCCAGTAGCCCAAGAATAAAAAAACAGGAGTCATCTACAACATACAGTGTAAAGATTATAACAGCCATTATGTAGAACAGATAGGCAGAAGATTAGCAGAGTGAATCCATGAACATCAACTAGCAGTCAGAATACAGGATGAAAATTTAATGTCACAACATAAGAACAGACTCAACCACCATTTCAATTAGGAAACTGTTGGATCTTTAGACCAAGCTTGGCATGAAGAATAACAATGTTACCTAATTGGATAGTGAATTGTCTGCAAGCAAACAACCAAGCTCAGAGATCACCAAATACTACACATTACTGATTTAAATTTAATGTTTTGCAACTGTAAGACACACAGCCATAACTCCTCCCTAAATATGTGGTTGTGTGTTTTTAAGGAAATGAATGCTAGAGATTTTTTCTTTAATATTTTATGCTCTTTCCCTTCTTTCTGCTATTTGTGAATTCATGAAGGG